GAGCGTCGAGCGTCAGCGTGAAAAGGCACCTTTACTCCGTGTATTGTAGACGACGCCTATTGCATAGCGCACAAAGGAATCAACCAATCGAAATTCTTCTTTTCCATTGAATGGGAGGAAAGGAAAGCTTCTGATTAGTTGATTAGCTTATGTATTATGCGTTATGCAAAAGTCTGTGCTGCGGCCTTTAAGTGTGCCGAATTCGCCATTATGTTTAGGTTATTTTAATCGGTGTTTAATTTATATGTAGCTATTTTGTAATTAATACGATATATTTCGTTTTGAAACATGAGTAAGAATCATAAACGTTTAAAACGCCTAAAATCGGAAAAGGCGAAAGTGAAGTTAAAAGCGAAGACCATCCATCAATTGACAAAAGGTTTGAATGCTACAGATACATCGTTTAAAGTAAAAAAGATACTTATTCGTGAACAATTAAAGCAACGAGATGAAACAGAGGTTCTGAGCACTCGCAAATTGAATATCGACGTACGTAATTCGGCTTACAATATTTTTTTATGTTTAATTAATGTTAGATAATTGTTGAATTTATCCTCTTCATCGCCGATGTTGATAAAATTAGACTTGTTTGACACGTTTTTGCACGAAATGGACGAATCTGGCAAAAAAAATGTATCGCTTTACCCCGTGGACCGAGATATTAATCGTTAAAGTTGATGACCATTCAGGTTAGGAAATCTGTCGCATCAATGGCGTAGGACATGAGAACATATAATTGAAGCTAGTTTAAGTATTTTCTGCTTCAATTACACAAATTCTCTGCTTTAAAAATACATTCTTTGCTTTAAGAATACAAATTATTTTCTATATAATTTTTATTTTTATAGCAGAGTATTTGCCTTGGTTAAATATTTGTCTGTAAAGCAGAAAATTTGTTTAACTGTCTATGCCATCGGTGCAATAGATTTCCTAATCTGGATATCTGTCAACTTTAACAATTAATAACTCGGTTCACGGAACAAAGCAACACATTTTTTTGTCAAATTTGTTCATATAGTGCAAAAACGCGTCGAATGAATCTAATTTTACCAACCTCGAGGAGGTATTGAGGCTAAATTCAACAATTACCGAATGTCGATGTTCTGCATAAATCTAATTGTTTAGTGCATTATAGTTCGACCTTGTATGTACATTATTATGTAACTTGTAATATATTTCCAGGATTTATTAACACGTTTTCGGCATCACAATTCAACTGTGAGACTAGATGCTTTGAAACAATTAAAAGACATCTTGTTACAAAATCCTCCAAAATCATTACATTCGCGATTGAATTCTCTGTTACATGGTATCGCAGCTTTATCTCTTGATAAAGAGAAAGAAATACGTAAAAATTCATTTTATGCACTTAATTTTATTCTTGGCCTTATCTCAAATGAACAGTTGGCACCTTTGCGTGAAATTATAATATCGTATCTGAGCTGTGCAATGACACATATTGATCCACGTGTGAAAGAAGACTCTCTACTTTTCTTAGATGTGCTTGTACAAAATTGTAATAATGCATTGGCAAAAGATAGTCATAAAATATTACCTAATTTTTTGGGTATGATATGCAGGTTGCATAATGAAGGTAGCCCTGTGGCACAATTAATGACAACGTTACATTCCAAAAGTACTAATGTAAAATGGAGAATTAAAGTTCTGGAACGTTTAGCTAATTTATTTACCTCTATTGTTAACTACAGGAAACTTTGTATAGGTACACGATCGATTATCCCTCCGTTTGTGAAAACGAAAAAATATATCAGATTTATTCCAGTTTATAGCAATAGTGCGACTCAATTTTGTGAAATTAGTCTTGACGAAGATATGGTCTCGATAGATAATCATGAGAAAGAAACCTTACCTATGGAAGAATTTGTAAAATATGTAAATTTATTGATGCCACTAATGTCTGATATTTGGCTCGAAGTATGTCCAGAGAAAGTTGAGAGTTACACAGAGATTACAATTTTAAGCGAAACAGCTACATTATTGAAAAATGTCATTGTAATTATGCAATCGATTGTGGAGTACATTGATACGTTGGATCAGGATGATTATAGCGTCAAACGTATGAAGCATTGGTTTAAAAATACGTTTCATGATGCATATATGAAAAATTTTCTATCGAGGTTTCCTTATGGTAAAGTAAAGCCTCTTATTAATGAATCCAGAAAACGTCAAAAAGATTTTTCTCAAATGGAATATACGGAAGAATGTTTGGAACAGAATTTGGGACTTTGTCAAATTCATGTATGGTTTACATCTCTGTTTAACTGCAACGAACAATTTCCCAAGTCTGTCAGGAGCTATTGCATATCCATTCTGAAGTATTTAAATGGTAAATTATTATTATTATTATGTAATAAACACAAGTAATATTATTATCTAATTATTATTATGTATAAGGTCCTTTTTTACGGAACTTTTCTCATTTTCAGGTATTATTGAAAATTTGTGCGACTCATCGGCTTTACCTCAACTAACTAAATTACTAAAAACTTTATTTTTGAAAGCTGGACCAGTTTGGTATAGCAACTCTATTAATTTGAATCATACTTTAAGATTTATTATTGAAGCATCTTTTCGTTTGCCTAAGAAAGAATTGCAATCGCATTTGTATTTAATTATTGGTGACATTATGTTGAACAGCAATTTAAATGAGTTGCATAGGTAATCGTTTTAAATAAAAAGTAAAACCTGTAAACGATGGATAATTTAATTTTTGTAGAGCACTCATTTCAATCAGGAATATGTGTGAGATAACGTATAATTAACTTAGTAGACGGTCGCTAATTATTACTTGTTTCGTTTGACAGAGAAAATATATTTGGAAGCTTTGTTACGATCTTACCAAGTTTACTCCTGAAACCGAGCATAGATGACGTCGTAATTCGTATGATCGGTCAAATAGTTCTACGTTTTAAGGAATGGATCCGGGAAGAATTGATAGCTAAACATGAGTCTATTATCGGTAAGTTGTACGAATTTGATAAAATTGTATATTGTGTTATCGTTTTTATCATATTAACGCTTTATTCTTTTCAGAAAATGCTAAGAAGATCGACATTGTGGGTACACACGACGACAAACAGTCGAGACTTATGATATATAATCTATTTTATTTTATAGATTCACAGATTTACTATTAAATTAAATTGATCGCAGCTATATACACAAATACCGAGCTTAAAAATACGATTGATTTTCCTGTGTCAAGTGCAGGCTTTGATCAATTTTTATTTAACATTTAGCATATCTTATGGAACAATTGGACGCACGTCACTACACTCATTGTCAGTCATTTGCAAAGCCAAAATTTTCGAATCCATTTTTTTTGCCAGTCCATCCATTCGATAGCTTGATCGAGTTGTTAAAATCGTTCACTGTTTGATCATTCGAAATTTGACCGCTTTGACAGTGACTATTACGTGTAATATTTTGTAAGTTGCTTTCTTTTCGCACAAATAACTCTGGCGTTTGGTCAGTGCTCTTAAATTTCGGCCAGCTTTCACAATTCTTCAGTTCATATTCCATCTTTAGATATTGTTTCTTTGATTTTTCCGGTTTGTGTAATTTTCTCTTCAAGGTATTTTCAATGACGCGCTCTATTACGAAGCTTTCGAGGAATAAACAAATAAGAAAGTTGGCTAGAGCGAGCATTAGGATAATAAGTCTCCAGTCGTAAACGGGTGGCAAAATCAACTGCAGCGTGCTCACTATCCAATCCGCGGGGTAAACTGTAATGTATATACATATGGCCGTTAATAAAAGTATGGAGAACATAAATGCGCCATTTGTATAGATTGCACGTCTGTAAGGTTTCCCGCGTGAAAACACAATCGCCATTGTGATGTATTGGAACATGGAGACACAAAATACCGAATAGTTTTCGTAGCATGTGTATCCGGTGTTGCTAGTAGAAACGAACGGGATGAACCATGAAAATTGTCGAACTGCGTGATACACTATTGCTTGAAAAACGATCGTTACAAACATGTGTATTGTTAGAGATAACAGTGCAGTGAAGCTTAACAGACTTGTCATCGGTGTTGTCTTGGATAATTTGTTCTTACACGCGTGAGTCTTGCCGAAAAAAGAAGCAAAGTTGATTATTAAGAAGATATCGATAAATAGAAATTGTAAATCCGTCAAGTTCGAGTCTATGGAATACAGTATTATAACGGACAAAAATTCCGTAAGGGAATACGCAATCATAAATTTAAATATTCCAAACGATGTAACTAAAGCAGCACGACCTTCCCGTATTATTTGTAAAACACAGCTTGTATCGGATATTCTTGAGGTAAAGGAACTGGCCACGCTGCAAAATATGTCAATGCAAATCGTCGATTAATATAATAGAAATAACAGAATTAAGTAGCCAGCATAATCATATGGTTTACGTTTACGTTTAACTCACCTGGATTCTGTTTTGGAAAGGGATATACCAACATGCGCGGCCCTTAACGCTCCGCAATCGTTGGCACCGTCTCCGCACATGGCTATATATGTATAGAAGCATCGTATACAATAATTTTCACATAATTATACTGTATTCTGTGTGTGTGTGCGTGTGTGGCGCGCGCGCGCGCATTAGGTACGTTTTTTTACATTTGTTACATTATTTGGAACATTAATGGACTTTATTCGGCGCTTTTTCTCGATACTTTCGAAATATACGTACCTACGTAATAACCGAGTCGCATTAGCTCCACGACCAACTGTTGCTTCTGATCGCTGTTCATTCTGGCGAATATTGCACTACGTATGCAAACGCGATCCACGATATCAGGATAATATTCTCGCATCACTTGCCACGTTTGTCCCGTTAAGGCAAATCTATAATTGCAATTGACTATACCGCATTCTATATCCTTGACTGTCGGCGGTGACACTAAATGATTTTGTGTGCTCTACAAGAAATTAAAAGATTTGCATTAATCTGCATCAACGTTCTTGGCTGTTATAACTGCAGATTAATTGTGCAAGCAAAACGCAGCTGCAGACAAAATGCAGACAAATGAAATAATTAATTATTTATACCTGTAATCTTGGAGATTGAGATTGAATATTGAAAATTATATCTGGACAATCCTTTTCCTCATTCGAGACTGCGGTCACATCCACGATGTGTTCTTTGATTGAAATTATTCCGCATTCTCTCGCGACGCTTATCGCGGTCTGAATATTATCTCCTGAAAAGCACAAAGATCGAATCATGCATTAGTGCATGAATGCTCAGCGTTATGTTTGAGAGATTATATTCGTACACGTGTTATACATATATATATCGTTATAAATCGTTCCATCAAACCTGTAATCATCATCACGCGTATGTTGGCTTCCCTTAGTTCCGTAATCACTGATGCCGTCGATTGCTTCAGTCGATTTTCCAGAATAACTAGTCCTAAGAAATCCAAGTCTCGTTCAATTGTTTCTCGAGACAATTTCGATATCTACGAACATATGCACTTTCATCACTTTTCATGTTTATATCGCGTCACTTAATTGAGATACATTTTTATTTAAATAAACGTATAATATACATACATACATATACACACACACACACACACACACACACACACGATCGAGTACCGATCAAGTACGTTTATATGAAAAGAAAAAAGATTGCACGAATATACATTACATGCAGCGTATATAGTATATTATACCTCTTGGCTACTTTTGGAGATTGTCTCTCTGCGGCCTATAGCTATCACGCGAAACCCCCGTTTCGTAAATTGCTCCAAAGTGAGTAAAATATCCTCCGGTACAGTTTCCATTTTACTCAGATTGATTATCATTTCGGGAGAACCTTTCGTGTAAGCTCTGAAATTATTCGATCCTGATGCACGTACGATCACGGACATTCGTTGTAAAGAATTCGAAAACTGGTATCGCTGTATTATACCAATCTCCGTAATTTTGTTCATTATATTTTTCATCGAGCTTACATTCTCTAGTGGACTCACGACAATCGGCATTATTGAGTTGTTATATAATGTATCTATGTGCATGCAATCCGAATCTTTCAACATCCATTTGGTACTTTCGAACATCTGTAAAGCGTAGTATACATCACGTATATAACAATAACATGTAATATTAATATGTAACGTCGCGAGATGTCGAGCGATGTAAAATCACGTCGTAGTAGAAAAGCAGCGATGACATTTAAGTGGAAGAGAATTATAATATATCAATTAATTATTACCTTTGCGTCCAATGGATCTCCGCAAATTTCTCCATCGATAAGTGTTAAACCGTGACAAACTAGCATTCCTTCAAAAAGAGGATGATCTTTGAGTTTGGATACATCTGTCTGAGCCTCGGCAAGTACACCATTTGTACATGCTGCAGCACCCCACATGTCCAATTCATCCTCGGTCAATGTCCCTGTCTGTGGACATAAACGGTCAAAATGAGAAAAACGAGAAAAAAATGTTATCGTTAACGTTGCAGTATACTATGCAATATTGATTCGCAAATTGCTCGCCTGCATCCCGCGACCACGTGGATAACTGCGACATAATCAACTCCTTTTTAATCTCTTTGTCAATCTTAATTTCTTCCTTTCTTTCACGTACCTTATCGAAACATACGCAATTAATACTGCCGGAAACATTTATGACTCTGTTATTTATACAGTAGATTTGCGCATATTTCAATCTCGTTTGAGCGTACAGTTTTCCTACAGTCATCGCGGCTGGTAATGCCGGTGGTATGACTATCGTAATGATGTCTAATGCTTTTATCGCTATATCGCCAGCTGTAATTCCTCTCGAGACCTAAATTATATATTTAATATTGTCTTATTATTATTATATTATTATTACTACTATTATTATTATTATTATTATTATTGCTATTGTTACAGCAAGATATTGATATCTTTTATCTTTTTATAGAAACGAACCAGTAATTATAAATAAGTATACATGCGTCTATTTGAAAATGTTAAAAATTATATAATATTATACCTTTGTTATTACGGTATATACAAAACCACAAATTGCGATAATTGCCAAAATACCAATAAATTTATATGAATCTTTATCAAATTTGAAATCCACTGGAGGTGGATATAGTATAGTGGCAATTAGAGTACCTCTGGTAGTTAGAAAACCAGTTCTGATTACTCTCGCAAGAACTGGTTGTTCGCCGTGAGATCTGCGATCATATCACTCATTAATTACACATAATTATCAGCGGCTATATCTATTATATTATCGAAAGTAAAAGTATCGTATCGTTCATACTTGGTTTGTATTATAGCGGTACCATTATACAACGTGTGATACGTATACTCTTTAGCGTCGTACAGTGTATGGCGCAATGGTAAGAATGTTTTTGTTACTGGTACAGATTCGCCTAAAATCGGTAGAGCAAGCAAATTCAGCAAAAACATAGAGTCGCGCGCACGCATGTTGTGGAGATAGAGATGTAAAGAGAAAGAGCCTTTCCTTTTATTAAGAAGCAGTAGTTTGTGTGTACTATGTACAACATATAATTTTTAAAAGACATATATTTACCCGTTAACATGGATTCGTTCAATATACATTGTCCAGTTAATAGAACCGCGTCGCATACGAGAGTCGCTCGATGTTTCGGTAATTCTATAATATCACCGGGTACCAATTGCTTACTAGAAATATTCTCGAAGATACCAGTGTCACGAAGTACACGTACACTTTCTGACGATGCAACGGTACCGCGTAGATTTATTTGGTTCTAAAAATAATCGATGTGTGTAAAATCGCGAATAAATATTTTATATTACAAGACAAATTTTCTTTCTTCTACATACCTTACGTGTCTGCACTATAGAACTCGTTATGCCAAACAAAGACATTAACACTATAGCGATAGTATAATACAGATAGCCTTCCGCGAACCATACAGATAAGGTAAATACTTGAAAAATATAAAATGGATTTAACACTTCTAGAAGTAGTAATACACCGATACTCTGAAGTGGAACAACAATGTCATTATTTCCATAGACAATACGCCTGTTACGAAGACAAAATGTTTCTTAATTGAAAAAAAACTCCACTTATTGTTGTGATTTGTATTAATTCGTAGGTGAATAGATTGTTTGGCATATTACATCTATCTGTACATTAATGTGCATGTATATGAGTGTATAAGTATATCCCCTGCAAGTATAGCACAGCAACGCTTGCAAAGCGCTTAAAAAAGCCATTATATGCGCTTTTTTAGCGCTATGTGCTACTTAAGTCTATAAACTATATAGGACCGTCACCTAAGTAACTGTTCTTCCTTGGACAAGCCGTTACTGCGCGAGACGTGAAGATTGGAACATATTGTACCATGGTCAAGTCCAACGAGCCTCGTGAATATATTTTTCGTAGTGTCCCAGATATAACATCTCTTTTTACACCAAAAAGCCTTGTATTCTTGAACCTCGCAACGTGTACCGTTTTCTAAATTAATTTTTAATTTTTTGTCTTTTATTTTCTCTAAGAGCTCTCGATCAACAGTACCCAAAGTAGCCGACAAACTTTTCGCACTGAAAGTGCATATTAGTAATGGAATTAGAGACTATATAGTAGTCTAAAATTCGCCATTTTTGCATAGTCATATATTATATTATTCTTTTAATATTACACATTATAAACTCACCTTATATCTTTAGTAGAAATTTCCCGGACATCCCGTACAAAGTATGATTTATATCCTTGATAATCATCCTACATTTATTGTGTTTAAATCAGAAACATAATTATTATTCTCAAAAATATTTTATTTAGCTATTGTGATGTGCGTGTGATAATTTATAATTTAAAACGCATAATGTTATAACGAAAAAAAAATACTTACTATCGCGAGTATTTTCGTGGCGCAACTTAAAGCACATTTTCGATGAGTCGCATACAGATACAGCCGAGGATACCAATGGAACAATAATCGAACCAATCCAATGGACAATACATATGATACATATGTCAGAATAGTCCTCAGTGAACTCTTCTCGAATCCATGAATACGCTAAAATACCATGTTAACATTAATGCAATAAACGATGCTACAATTAAATGACAATGAGATGATAATTATATGACATAATTATAGATTTAATGCATATATTGAATTGAAAGAAAAGATATAGCGATGTGTATAAATGTATGTATGTACATACCAGTTTATTTTGATTAGTATGAATTTTTTGCCAGAAAACACTTTTGTTGTTTATTCCTAAGAAAGAAATAACGTTAGTTATCCTATATATCAGTTATCCGTTACAACGTAAGTAAAATATATTATATTAACTTATGCTTGAAATATAAAATATTTATGTTTCTTTTTGCTTTTTCTATTTCTATATATTAGTGTAAATACAAAATATATATTTTTGTATAAAAATAAAACAAGAGTACTCTTTTAGTAGAGACATTTAAAAATGTTAAGGGAAGGTGTGTGTGTGAGAGAGAGAAGGTATAAGATTAAGCATAGATTATCTTAAACAGTTGTCCGCGCTCATTAATAATCCATACAAAATTTATTTGAAAGAAAAATTAAGAGTCAAAGAGAATTAGGGAAAATATATATTTCTGTTTCTATACAACTATTAAATTTTATATATATATATATATATTTATAATACTATTTGCAATTTTGCAATAATTAAGTTTTTCATAACTTATGCAAAAATGAGCGTCTAACAAAATGAGCTCCAAAACTGACATAGTAGACAATAATACCAACATTCCTATTCTATAAATAAAAATATGTCCTATTCTATAAAGAAAACTAATTTATGAAACTATAAACATTTAAAATGACATAATATTATTAATGATACAGTCACTATTATTTTAATTACGCAATTTGCAAAAGAACACCATAAGAATTTTCTTCTCGAATTCATAGAGTTGGTTTTTAGCTGATTTGGTATAGAAATAAGCCACAAATATATGAATTATAAGTTTGTACTTCTTTAATTAGCTAAACAGATCATAATTTTATTAGTATTAATAAAGTGCAATAATTAGTTTCTGAGAAATAAGGGGGTGTCACTTAATTTAGGAGACCTATGTCAGTATCGGCGACTTTCCTCTAAATAATTTCTTTCATGAATGAAAATCGCGCTGTGTCCAACGGTCGATTTTATTTTCCACACATATGTACCACATGCTTCAGAATATTATACTATAAAAATAAGTGCACTGCGATAAACGTAGAAACATCAAAATATGTATTAGAATACAAAATATGATGTATATTATTCGTGCAATAATCTGTTGGCCATATAGTAAATATTTCGCATTTCTATTTCGCCTTTTATTTTTCATGCTTACCATCGGCATCGATCATTATTTCGATCTTGTTTGATTAGAAATTGTTGCGTAATTTCGACAGTTCCTTTCGTTACGACCCAGTGATCTGCCACTAAACGCAACTCTCTCTCTTTCTCTCTCTCTCTCTCTCTCTCTCTCTCTCTCTCTCTCTCTATTTGTCACCGTGATGTCACCTGCGAAATGCAAAGTTGCTTATTTAAAGATTATTTAACGTTCCACGTTATCATCGATATACATCACGCCCAAATATTTTATGATCTTGGGTAACATAAAAGTTTTGACAATATATCCAGATAGCAAATTGCCTGCAGATTGCTGTCAATTTGCTTAAAACTGCTTTGCTTAAGTTGTTTTCAATATTCAAGGAAGCTCAGAATTTGCTTATATACAGCACAGAATTTGCAGCAATATCGCTGCAATAACGCTACAATATTGCTGCAATATTGCAGCATTGTTGCTGCAATTTTTGTGTTGTAGGAAAGCAACTTCCGATTTCGCCTATCAGATTTCCACTAACTCTTATAAGCAACTTGAGAGCAACAGTTGCTCTCTTATACTTAAACCGATCGTATAATAAGTTGTTAGAAATCACAGGACAACATGATAGAAACAGTTTCCGCCTAAAATCTTATATATATATATTATATATATATATTCTTATATAAATAATCTGACGGCATTTTAACCGAACGAGCGTTATATATCGAGCTCTTCGTGAACGAAATGTGATCAAAGTCCTCGGTAAGCGTAACAAGTGTAATAACATTCTTAAGTATCAGGAGATTTCATTTATTTGATAAACATTTAAAAAAGCATTATGCTTTCATCTAAGAATCCCCCCCCCCCCTTGGGTGTCTGGGGTCTGCACTTTTCAAACAATTATTTCATTAGAACACAGCTGAAAAATTGCGATTGCATTCTATTTCGACTTTCATAGTATAGCTCGTAAAAACATGTCGAAATCCTGATTATATTGCAAAATTGTATCATGGTGAGGAGATTAATATACAAGGCGCAGCATATATGTATATATATACGCTAGCTGACAAAGATGTTATCAAAACATTCGAGTTTTTACCGTGTTTCCCTTCGTTTATGGATTTTTTCAACGATTTCTACTAATTATTTATCCTTATCGAGAATGTATAAGTATAAATTGTTAGCAATTATGATCGACAATTATTTTATAAGGTCGGTTAGAAAAACTTAAAACTATAAAAGGTTAAATAGTTATAAATATAATGATCGCTTAATTGTCATAAAATTGTCATTCAATCAAAGTTTCGATTGAAAATGTAAGGAAAACTCAATTCTATATACAGATCAAAAAATTTGAGATAGATGAAAAAAAGAATTTGATTAAATAAGTATAATCGATAGATATACATATATTTATACCTACCGCTATAGAGGTATTATAATCGCGAGTGCATTAATATATTTTTCAATACATTTATATATGTGGTTACACTCTTCTACAAATACTCGAGGAACATTTATTTTCATCCGCATAATCGATCGTACATAATCGCAAATGCTTCGACTACTTTACACTCGCGGAAAATGGAAAGGATTGCGTCGAATCGAGTGTCCTTGTAAATACGTATACATCCGACACAATTACATTTTGTGACGATATGACATTTCATTTTGAACAGCTGTATGTACACAAGTTAAAGTTATAAATGCCTTAACACTTAATTTGTATTACGTATATCGGATCATATTCGGAGTACATGCATGTTTTAAATATTATCTCACATCGTGAAATGAATGATTGTTCAATAATATAATTATAAGTATTTCTATATATACTAATCATATATTTTAATATATTATAATAGCGTAGTGTATTTTTATATAAAAATAACAATAGCCATATATATACATATGTATATATACGACGTATATATATATATATATATATATATATGCGTATATACATATGTGTAGGTATAGATATATGTATACATATATGTATCTATATAATACCCACACAGCACGGAGAGTTCTCGGGAAACTCCCTGGGAGGTCATAAAATTTTTGTAAGCTTCATTTAAGCTTCAAAAAGAACAAAAAGACACGAAGCTCCTCTGGAACTCCTAATGTCCGCTTTTGTGAGTTCTCTAGGAGCTTCATTTTGGTTCGCATTTTGTAAGCTCCTTAGAAGCTCGGCAATATGAACTCCCCGGGAGTCCATTTTGTGAAATTTTATAAGCTCCCCTAGAGCTCAGCAAAATAAACTCCCTAGGAACTTAAACGGAACTTTGTGCTGTGTAGGTATGTATATGTATGTATATTATACATATAGACGACGATGACGATAACAATAATAATGATGATGATAATAATAATAATAATATGATATAAGAATACATACGAATACGATGCTTTTCGAGTATTTGTCAAATTTCTTCAACTTTTCTTTCGCCTCTTCAATGGCGGCAAGATAACGGTGGACGATTTCGTTGCGCAAGATACGCAGACGCGCTCACACTATACTGCATCCATTGCGTCGATTTGAATTAATCGACTCGCCGAATTTTCGTTAAATGAGGAATGCTGGAAAATTCCACGCAATATCCATTGGCAATTAGGCAATTGCTGTCCGAGTTAGTATAATATATTATACATATAAGTATAATATATTATACTTATATATATTAAGAATGCAAATAATGGAGCGCGCGCACGAAACACTCGTTGTCGCGCGCGGTCGAATACGCGAGAGGGAACGAGTTTTTTTTTATCGTCGAAATTGCTTGAAATATCATGTACGATGGTAATCAACGATGAAGTGTCAGAAAGCGGAAGCTATGAACTTGGTTATCGTTGGCAGCACACAAGGTCAACGAATAAACTTTGAATGCGTCTAGAATGCAGCTAAAATTATATATATGTGTATAATACGCGTAGTAGTTATGGCGACTGCACGAAGCGATTTTCCCACATAAACTACGTGTATATGTATAAAGTTAATGATTAATATTTCTTGATATGTTGTTTTTTCTCTCGCTGACTTGTGTCTCATTACACGTACTATACATACATGCAACGGAGTGTATATTAGCGTACTGAACTGAACGGTCGTATTTTACGTCTATCGCCGATCTATTGCAGGCCGGAAAAGAACGGAAGGGAACGGAGCGGAGCGGTGCGCGGCGCCGCGCGACGCGCTCTTTCGTATATCGCGCGCGCGTTATTCGCGGTTACCTTCGTCGAGTCGATCCCCCACCCCACGCGGTCCGACACTGCTCCGCACTGCTCCGCACTACTGCAGGTCTTGCGGCGATGGAAAGAAAAAGCAGTCTGTGAGCGTTTATATATTGTACATACATATATACCAATTCTTAATTCCCTCACCGCGATTTCAACAAACTTTCGCAATCGCAACATGTTTTACAACAGTTGGAATAATATTGTTTTTCTTACAATACCCAGAACAGTTTTCTGTTTTATACAATATAGGATTTGTACTCGACCAAAAAAATTGATTAAGAGATAACGGTACGCATGCCTATAATATAGCAAACGAGTCATCGAGCGCGATAAGCAACGAAAGGATTTATGTTAATATACAAGTGCCCATATATTCGCGCGTAGTCGCGATAATTCTTACTTTGAAGACAGCCTGAAAATATCTTCGAAAAAGAACCCACGAATAAGAATTAAAAAAGAGCCAAGTACCAATTGCCTTAATTTTGTTTGCGAATGAAAAACCGATAGGGTAACTCCGGTATATATGTATACGCCGCGCTGGGATTTACGCCGCGGAAGTCAGAAAAAATAGAAGGAGTGGGGGTAATTTTCTCGCAACTACTCTGTTACATGCCTTTATGTTGTATTAGTATTGAGTTATAATTTCAGCTTCTTACTGTTAATATTAATGAAATTATTGTGAGTTGAATCGATTTGTCACTGTAACAAGTAGCATCATCATAAATTATAATCTACATAAAATGATTACTGTAAGGCGTGTAAAAGACGTAGTGGTTATTTCGTGATACATACGTGTGCAGGAACAGTAAAGCATGTTATATAGCAAAATACAAGTGCTTTGCTTTCGTATTCTTTGTTTAGTTTGTTGAAACCCTTGCATTTTTGCCATATATCCCACCCATTATCTATATATAGCAAAAATGCAAGATTTCAAAAAGTTTATTTTTTAATACGAAAACTAAATATTTCGGATTTCTAGTATTTTTTTCATAGTAGTAGACAGTACAAAGTTTTTACTGATATAGTTTGTTTATTTTAAACATAGTAAATAAAATAAATTAAGTTTTTGAGTTAGGTGCAACCGGTATATATACCGGAGTTACCCTATATATGCATATATATATATATATATATATAATTGTATGTTCTAACTCGCATTGATGTAACTATACGTACGCCCACGCCATTTATGATGAAATAACAATTTTCTTACGTAAATACACATAATAATATATGTAATTGTTGACGGACGAGTCGTTGGTTTCTTTTTTTATTCTTTTCATATTAAGACTTGTCATATTAAGACATATGCCGCGTGTATATATTCAATTCCATTCACAATACTCTTGAATCTATCAGAAAATCCCTGAAAATGATGTAAAGTTTATTTTATATATACCGTTTAATATTAACAGTCTTCATTACATCGTTAGGTGTCGTCAGTTACGGACACTATAACGACGAAATTGTCAGTTAAACACGTCATGACATTTATAATTGTAATTATGGAATTGTGTTTTTGTCGACTAGCAGAGGTAAGCTCATTTAATAATGATGTTTTTCAATAAAATTTTCTTTTTGATGTATTGATTGGATTCTATTGTGTTACAAATTTCACAGACATACTTCCAAAGTTTTAAAATAATCGTGTTACTCCAACAAGTGATGGACTTACCTCTGTTGGCACATAAGAGGACAGTATATATTGATATATATTATTGCGTTTTAACACCATTCTCTCGAACATTAGGTAGCATTCTGTATATTATATTATCGTTGATGATGGTCCAAATAATGGGACCGAAACGTTCGAATTTTTTGTATCAAAGATATATTTGTACATAATTGATATACCGGAAACAGCGTTTGACTCTGTATAGCTATTAATATTGTACTTGATTAATTATTGTAATTTTGTATTTAACATAAGGAGTTTAATTCAATTAATAATTTGATTATTATTAATCGCTGCTTCATTTTTAATATACCTTGTTTCTTCATTGAAATAAATAACAATTAATGTAGTCTATAATTGCGACGCCTAGTACCAATACCAATATCCCACTTATAAATTTTAAGCATCGACAACGAATTTACCTAATTTGCTGTGTGCTAGCTCTAATTATAAGTTATTATAAATTTATTGAGAGAGTTTGTGACCTTTGATGTATCGATCATTTTTCCTCTAATATGCCCGCGAGATCGAAAGCCAACGTATTATATAATTATATTATAAGTATGCGTCTGCAGTGCGTATCCATTGGATCGACCTTGAGACGTACCGTCCGATAATCCTGTGAAGAGCATTATGAATTAATCATAATTTGTCCGAGTTGTAAAACGACCGTACATATAAGCGATATTAAAACGATATTAAAGTGCGTGCATGCGTGTATATAGATACGTTTAGCTCGCTCTCTTGCTGTCTCTTGTGGAGCAGATAGCCTAGGATAAGCCAAAAAAAAATGGAAAAGACAAAGAGATTTCATCTTGTCCTTTATTTAATATATCCATGAATGTGTTTAATCAATTATACAATCTCTGAATCTAACAGGCATAAACGATGGTATCGTGACATCTCGTTGGATGTAATGCGCGTTTGTCATAGTCAATGGCTGCGTTCAGCAGAACGTTTATTTTGCAACTGTTGGAAGTTTTCTTCACGCTGATTGGGTTATGCTTTTAGACCAAGAGGAATATCTCAGCAGAGAATCATAAAACGGTTGCAAAACTATTGTATTCTACTGAACGGAGCCATTATATCTATCATGTACATTATGCAATCACAGCCGCACGCTTTGTTCCGTTTTCGACAAAGACATACAATTAGACGTATGTACATACACGTCTTTTATGTATAATTATATCATATTCGCGCGTATACATATACAACGTTGTAAAACCACAATTTTACAAATGCATGGCTGGCATCAATTTTTCTTCTACAGTGTGTGCATGACTGATCGAATTGTATGGGACCTACTTCGCTATCGAGATCTATATTAACTTTACGACACGACTTTAAACTGATAATGTTTTATGAACCCGCAAATGAGAGACAATAAGATATAGGTATCACAAATGCGCACGATCTCGCAAACAGCTTTATCTGCAATAACTCTGGAGTAGGAGTACAAACATTTATATCACATATCATAGTATATTCTATTTTAATAACGGCTCATTCGAATCTCATTTTATCTTCAAATTCGTACTGCTTAAGATTAATTTTTTTTTATACATTAGTCATTAGCGATTAGGTAGTATTATTGTGGATATCTGAAATCGATCTTGCACGACGCATTAATGTACATTTAATTTATGTTGATAAAAACAGAGAGAGAGAGAGAGAGAGAGAGAGAGAGAGATACACGTTTCTTAGCCGTCCTCTTTTCGTTTGTCAACGATGTTATCTACGTCCAACTGTGACAAAATCTCATCGTCCGAATCATACGCGTCATACTTGTCGTCAATAAAATAGCTTACCAGAGTTTTTGAGTTTTCGACGTTACGTTTTATTGCTGACAATGTGAATTTCACATTTAAATTCGAATCTCTACATAACGCATCGTTGCAAGACGAGAAACAATTTTCACGCGAGTAATGTGTGTCGTAAGTTTTTACATCGGTGTATTTCTTTAAAGTTTGTGGCAAGTGTTGCTCTTTTGTCTGCTTTGAACAAATTGTCGATTTGTTTTTCGTATTTTCCAAGCACTTGGTATTTTGCATTTGCAAGTTGCACCGCTGAATTTTGCTAGTTTGCGAAATGCTTGATAGCAAATGATCGCGACAATTTTGGTCTTCCAAACTTGTAAAGTTGCAGTCGGTAGTAAAGAAAACGTCCATATCCAAATCATTCGTATCCATCGAATGATCGAGATATTCAAGTATTTCATTGGTAACTTTGCAATCTTTATCTTTATTCTTAAAAATTTCCCCACTTTCATACTTTCCACTTGTCGAACTTTCCAGTTGTAACAGTAGATTTTTTGCTAATTCAGATTCGTGATCTTTGATAGATCCTTGATTATCGACAGAACTACTAGTCTGTAAAAGAGCCTTATGACTTTCATCAATTTTTTGCAGTCCAGAGATATAACCCGATTTCTCCGAAATTGACATGCAATTGTTAATTCTATTTAATTCACTATTTAAAGTATGAGATATAACACTTTCCATAAGAGGTGTACTTACAATCCGGCCTTTATCCGAATATATAGCTAGTAAATTTACTAGAGACACTAGAATATGATATTTGTTCGTTACTACATATGTCGTAGTTTTTAATAGTCCTACATCACATAAAAAAATAACTATATTCGGCTCTAATACGCCAGGATAAGTTGATGGAATGTCACGATGGACAGTACCTTCTATGCTGCCCGATGAATCTTTTAATATGACAAATGGATCGTCGTGACTATAATCTACATAATCCACTACACCTGCTATAAACTTTACTCTCGTACTATCACAATGATTAGCATTTGCATTGTCTTTAACAGTAGAAATCTTATAATCCTGTAAAAAATTATTTGGCAGGTCATTCAACAAAAGTTTCCAAGCTTTCTCTCCACACAAGTTCCTCTCATCTTGGGATTTGATCTCAATACGCTTGGTTGACGTTTTATTTTTTAATTCTTCAACACTATTTAGATAAGATGTAGCAGAGATGTTATCGTTTTTCACATCCGATACTAAGCCAGCTGGCCCGGGAAATAATCTAATCAATTTTACTTCTTTATTGAATCTTACTTTAGTATTCATAGACTCGTCGCTCTTTCCTCTGGACTCTTTATATTGGAATACTTTTGACGTTGCAACCATTTCGGATTGAAAACATTGCGTCTCCTTTTGTATCCCTGATGGATCTTCCTGTATATCTTTTGCAAGATCAAATGTCTCTCGACAAGTATTTTTCTGGAAAATTTCTAACAACAGATCCCCACGTGAAACGTCGTTCTTATTTTTGGACGGTAGATCGTTATCCTGGATATTTGCTATGGTATCCAATTTTGATTTCTGACTAAAGGTATTACGTGCCAGCAGTACCTCACAACTGTCAATTTTACGTCGTTTGACGGACTGTGTCTTTTCTTTGTTTTGATATGAAGAATAGGATTTCTTCTTCGTTTCCTCCTCCTTTCCTCCAACATCATCAAAAGTATCCTGCAATAATACATACATAACATGAGATATGTGTTAATTTTGCCGTTTTACAAATTCCAACTCTACCGATTGTCTATCTGCCCGTGCGTTGATAAAATAACAAAAGGAAAGCATATTAAACAGATTAATAACCAGATAAGTTCTAACCGCGTATAACTAAAAGACTCACTTCAAAAATCCAATCGTCACTTTCGAACATAATTTAAAAGAATTCTGCTAATCTCTGGAAATAATTTTTAATGTCGCCCGCGTAGTAGAAAAAAAACCCGCGACAAACAAAGTTACCAATTGTAGAGAGAAAACTGAGAACACGGAATAAAAGGGAGACCAAACTCAAGTGGCTGGTCACGGCTCACGGGCGGGCACGGGTGCGGGGTGGGGCCGGTAATCCTATGGTACGTTTCCACTGAGCGTGTTGCTGGTATCACGCGTCGCGTCGTTCATCACGTTACGACGCGACCAGACGCGACGTGGAAGAGAGAAAGAGTGAAGTTTATATATGTCAAAGACATATATCCGTATTCATAGTCAAACCTTGTACTTGAGGCTTCCTTAAATTTATCTTTAAACGCTCAGCAGCCAATGAAATAATTCGTACAGTATCTAAAGATAAATTTAAGGAAGCCTTAAATATAATGATACGTTTCCACTGAGCGCGTTACGCGTCGCGTTATGAAAGAGAGAAAGAGATAAGATTATATAAATACACAACCCCTCTCTTTCTCTCCTTCGATGACGCGACGCGTGACGCGCTCAGTGGAAACTCAGCCTAAGGCCTGACTATGAATACGGACAATAGAGAATGGACTGCGCGATCCGTATCTAAGCAATGTATGAAATGTGGTCGACAATAATGAGATAGAGTCCTAGATTTATCAGAGAGGCGCAACCGGTGTTATGCATTCTGATTCGCTGTTGCAATCTAACTAATTGCGTGGCAGCGTTTTAGACAGCCATTTATAGTACTAGTAACATATTTCTATTTCATTTTATCCTATACATTCTATCTCACATTATCCTATACGTCTTATCTTGTTTGATATAGTTTAAAGGAAGTTTCATAGCATGTCGGCCATATTTAGTACTCTCCTTAGCACCTTTGTCATACTGACTTAGGCGTCGTCTACAATACACGGAGTAAGAAGTAAGAGTAAGAAATTGACCAATCACAGTCGATTATTCTTCTCACATTCGACTGTGATTGGTCAATTTCTTACTCTTCCTTCTTACTCCGTGTATTGTAGACGGGCCTTTAAAAGTAAAATGTGCATCCATACATGTGTATTTCATATACGTATCATGTGGTATATACTTCCAACTTTTCCCGCGCAACGGCACTAAAATCGCATCGTCCCGATTTTCCATTCCGTCTGTTTTCCGAAGCCATGTTTCATCTTGATATCTTGATATCCTTCTTTGTATAACATCCTCCGTGATGTTACATATGTATGTACATACATACATACAATGGAGTATCTGTCAAACAATATATTGTTTATATTGACTTGGAGTTTCGCGATTTCATCGGTAATACCTATGTGTTCGCATTCATTCCATGTCCTTGGTTATCATTTTCTGATATTTTATCGATACCACAAACATTTGTAAAAATGTTATTAATGTTACGTTTGTAAGGAAGAGGATATCATTTTATTAATGTGTTTGTCGTTTTACCAGCGTTAATGTCGATAAAATTAATGTTTTATCAAAATTTTTTACATTTTGATTTATAATTTTTTCATCTATAAATTTATTATTTATATATACACAGTAAAAATTCTCTTAAAATTTATGCTGAAAATGTGGTAATTGTGGGACCTTGTATTTCGAAGAATTTTATGAAAATCTCTTGCATTCACTAATAAGAGTACAATCAAATATAAAATACGCTTGATTAATTTTACTGAAGTGCATGGTAAAAATCTTTGAAGTATTATATTGTACCATAACTACCATATCTTCAGGATAAATTTTAAAAGAAAATTCTTTTCGTGTATGTGTGTATATATATTTTGTTTTGCGTATATATATTTCCAGACTACTGCACATTACTGCGTATGGGGTTTGTGTGAATCATCAGAGTATTGCTGCGACGAAAATGTATGCTGCAGTTACAAAGACTATGATATATGGATTACTATGTAAATATATAATACATTTACATTTGAAAATTCATCATATTTTAGATGTATTAAAACCAATCTAATAAAATTTTAACAGGATAATCATAGCTGGAGTTGTAATTGGAATGATACTAGCTGGTACATGTCTCTACTACAATTTATGTCGCATCTATCTTTATCTACAACGGAGATACTATGGCAATAATTCTGTGTCAATGCCATCAGAATTTGATTCTGATGGAAAATCAATAAAAATATCATTTCATGAGTAAATAAAACAAATGATTTTTTATTAGACTAAATGTATGATATTTCATCTTTAAGTATTAACAATAAATTAGATGAAATATATCTCTAATAATTTATTCTGTTAAAAAAATATATATATATATATTGAATAAATTGCCTTTGTATTCTTATTAAGTAATTGTATTGTCAGTTGTGATATTTTTCTTGTAACTTTTTACTTGCGCTGTAGATATTATACAGTTTAAAATTTAAACAATTTCATTGAACAAAATTATATAGAGGGAAAATAAACGCTAATCTATATCATCTATACTGTATTTCCATTCGAGTATTCTGTTACTAATTTTAAAGGCGTTCCAATTATCGTCAATCTTTGACGCCCGAAGCTTAACATGTACAGCCTCACAAATTTCCTTTATATCTTCGGGTATGAAAAAGTGAGAAAGTTGCGGTACTATATCTTTTTGCCGTGGTTCTGGATCCTTACTTCGTGTAATGGTGGATGGCAATTGTTTTTCATCTACACTCAAATCTATCAAATTTTTATAAAGCGTCTCATCCAATGGAAAATCAAGTGCTGCAGAAATCTGTAACGAAAAGATGATTCAAATAAATGTGTGCGTGCGTGCGTGCGCGCGCATGCATGTATAATAGTGTTTTACCTTTCCATTTAGAAAACTCTTTAGTGCAAATGGCAAATGATTGATGTCTGCAACAATTTTCTGTCGTTCAAGTTCTTTCAGCTTATTAATAGTACACATGATAGAGTTGTATTCTGGTTGAGCTAAATCTTGTACTGTAGTAACATCCAATGCAATGATACATCTTTCATTTGCATCACTTGTTTTTAGATCAGCCTGTTCCTTGCGAAAAACTGATCCCATAGATGTTTTGATTTTAGGACTTGACATGTTATGTGATACAATTTTTTTGACTGGAGATATTTTTTTTCTTGTCATAGTTTTGTAATGTGACAAAACAGGTTTTGCATTAAGAATTCTCTCTTTGGTCATTGAATTTCTTGTTTTTTTAATAATGCTTGACGCAGATTGCGGCTTTGTCATTTTTGATGTTTTAAAATCTTGAATATTTACTTTTGGTATATGAATGTTATCCATAGGAAGTTTAAATTTCTCTCGAATAGCCGATTGTACACTATGTTGAAAGTTTCCTGTTGTTGTATCGCTTACATTTTTATTAGATGCAGACTTATTTGATAGTTTATTATTATTTTCTTTTTCGTTCTGTCGTACATTCTTTGTGTTGTCTTTTAAAACGTCATCTTGTGAACTCTTGTTCTGTCGTTGGAACATTTTACTACTATTCTTTGTATTCTGAATACCATTTGCATCCCGCAAAATTGTACTCTTGACTTTTGGCATATTTTTATTGGACAAAGACATATTTCGAACATTGCCAGATGTAGTACAATAATGTGATAAAGTGCCAATATCATGATTACTTGAAGATGTATCTTTGTCATAAATATTTGCAAATTTTGTAGGATCTACAACTCTGATAGGTTTCTTAAGAGTCACTATTTCTTTGATTTTTAGACCACTTGTTTGCAGACCAGATTGTCGTTTGGAATCTTCAACAATCTCCATCTTGTTTCGCGTATTGTCGGAAAATTGACAGAATCTAACTTTCGGTCTTGAAATTACATTAATATTATCTGTCATAGCGAGAGATGTCATTGATAAATATCGATTGCGATGAATCGTTAATGTTATATAAGAATATTTTATTTAAAAACATTACTCCCAGAGCGAGAGAATGTGTTTCAAAATCCCGTGTTATATATAAATTATAGAAAATATTACAAATTTTATTCTCTTATAATAGTTCACTAAACAAGGTAAGATCGCATTTTCTGCTAAAAGTCCGAGTGCCTCTTCGTTTTTTTGGCTCCGTAATCAGACTGGTTAGAAGTCTGAGTTCTGAATAATCTGAATCAGTCTGAATCTGACCACGTTTAGTTAGACCCTTAAATCCATAAACTTTTAGAAGATAGACGGAGCATTCGTACGAGAGAAGCTGGGAGTCGATTGTGTATTTTGAAATGAGATGAAAATTACAAAAGTGAGCAAATTCACTTAAGTGTTAACCAATTGAATTATGAATTTCCTAATAAATTTGCTCATATTTGTAATTTTCATCTCATTTCAAGATACACAATCGACCCCCTGAAAATTTGATAGAAAGAGAAAGAAATAGTCGCGACTCGCGGAGTAGTTCTCTTCTTTTCTAGTAGTGAATTGATTGGTCGCCATGGTAGGCCGGAAAGTGGCCGAGAGCAACGAAAGGTTTGTTCGCGTCGCATGCTCCAACATATTCCAACATACTCCTACCATAACTCCTACTCACTCTAACGCGCTTGATAGAGTGAGTAGGAGCTATGGTAGGAGCATATTGGAACATATTGGAGCATGCGACGCAAACAAACCCGAAGACAGCCGTTTAAGAGTTGTGGCCTTACGTAAAGTCCCTATAAGAGAATCGCGTCAATCTTGTCAAAATTTTCATTGGCTTTGAAGTAAAATGGCGGAACCAATCATCGATGGTATTATATCGCCTTTGAGTATCGTGAGCGCGACGGTGATTTAGACTTTAGAAATTGTGAAAGTAGAATTTACGTTAAATTATATAATATTGACAAGTAGAATTCAAGTTAAAAATTGCAAAATATTGACAGAAGTAGATCTGTCTATAGTTGAACTAGTTTTACACTTAAAAGGAACAGGGAACAGAGAACAGAGAATAAGAATTTCAACCTATCAGAAATCACGTATTGTGGAATACACAGTTTCTGATAGGTTGAAATTCTTATTCCTGTTCTCTATTCCCTGTTCCTTTTAAGGCCCGTCTACAATACACGGAGTAAGAAGTAAGAGTAAGAAATTGACCAATCACAGTCGATTATTCTTCTCACATTCGACTGTGATTGGTCAATTTCTTACTCTTACTTCTTACTCCGTGTATTGTAGACTGGCCTTTATTGTGCGGAGCCCTTGAGTCTATGATTTTAGCACACAGCTCATGTCAATTTTAGAACATAGCTCAATTCGAAAGTATTCGAAAGATCATAACGAACGGAGAAACTTGAAACAAATTAAATTATATAAAGTAATTTAGTAATGTGTATATTATTATGTAAAAGAAAATATATACATATTTGATATTTTATATATATAGAAAATATTGATGTAATCTTAATTAATATATACAAGTTTTACTTTCTTTTTTTTATCAAATATATTGCCAACAAGTGGTGGCGGAGCACAGGTAGTATTTAATGATATAGTGTTTGAAACAATTATCCTCGAAAGCGAGAAACATATTGGACCTCAAGAGAAGGGAATGGACTAATCCGACTAATAGTAGATATATTTCTATACATTGACAGAAACGACGAAAAGATCATATGAGTCGAGTATAATTACTTTCACAACTGAACATGTCACGTAATTCACATCGAGAGTGTAGGAGAAGTGAAACATCCGAAACATGTAATACATTTGGTGTATTTATTCATGCTTGCGGTTTAATCAAAGACTATAATCTTTATATGATATAATCTTTATATCACCATTATATTTTCGTTATTTTTACAAGATTTGAGATAAACATCATTAAAAAATTTGTATATCTAATATTCATACGGGATAGATATACTGGATTCACACTGCATCCGATGCGTCGTACGACGTAAATCGGATGCAGTGTGAATCCAGCATTATTGCTGAAATATACAATACATGATTATTACACATTAATGCATACAGGATGTTTGATAAAGATCGTAGCAATTATGCTTAAGGGCAAATTCCTAAGATTATTTTGAGACGAAAATTCTAATACTAAAACGTCGAGGCTTTAATAAAGTTATCGAATCATACCGCCTAAAAATCATACCGCGTGATACAACGAAAAATCCAGCCGTACCTAAGCGTGCGAACTTTAGGCGGTATGATTCTTCGTTAAATTTAAGTGCTTATATAAATTTAAAAATTATTATACCCGCGACATTTTGGTATCAGAATTTTCTGTCTCAAAATGCTCTCAGGAATATGTTACGTAAATGTTACGGTTTTTACCGAACAACATCCTGTATGCATGTGCGCGTGCGTGTATGTGTGTATTGTATACACACAGGGTGAGCCGAAATTTGAGGGTAATAAATTATTGCAGCATGAAACTTCGTAAAAAATTAAGTGATAAAAGTGTAAGCTATTTTTTCCCTTGTAAAGTAGATTTTTAATATAAACGTTTTAGAATAAACGTTTAAGTTTAACTAATAATTATAAACGCGTTGGTTAAAAAGTCATATCCATATGATGTGCGCCTATGTTATGGTATTAGATACTAAACAAAAATATTGCCACGCGCATTGTTCTGTTATAGTTAAACTTTAAACGTTTATACTTAAAAAACTACTTTATGGAGAAAAATGACTTCTTTTATCACTTATAATTTTTCACAAAGTTTGTTTTGTGAAAAATTATAAGTGATAAAAGAAGTCATTTTTCGCTGCAATGATATCGAATTTCGGGACACTGTGTGTGTGTATGTGTTTAATGCCATTAATTACTTAAACGGAACACTAATATAAAGAAAGTCTTGTCTCGGTAATCTGTAAGTATAAAAATATAAATACATTTTAATATGTATTGATAAATATCTATAGCGTTACGATTATTTAAATTGTAAAGATGTATGCGGGCGAAGGGATGGATCCGGCAACGAATTAGTGCCCGAGGTATTTCTTCGTAAGTTTAAAAGACGACCCTCTTGCTCTGAACTACAATTTGTATGATATATATATAGCAAATAACATTGCTTTTGCGACTTACCGGTTTACTAGATTCTCATTGCTGTTTTCCTTTACAAACGTTACCAATCCGTATGCATTATGTTTATCCAATGTTCCATTGTAAACTAGCAAGTCATCTACTAATATCTACAATAGAAATATAAATATGGTTTTAATACAATTTGAACAAATTGGAGAATTATCAGTGATACTTGTGTGTAATGCAATCGATTTCTCTTACCGCAAATTCTTTAACTCTCCTTTGTGAGGTTTTTCCATAATTCCAGATTTTGATCATTGATACCATAATGGGATGATAAAATATTAAATACACGCGATTTGTCTGAGAAACGCATATCGGGAATATTAAATAGAAATTAATTGACTATTGTTATCTAGTACAGTTCGTTTTCGCTTACTTGCCCAGGAAGTATAGGAGCCAGCCAGGCATGTCGTCCATCTCGAGTATCATTTATCCCATCAATAAGTTTGTCTGGTATACGAATGTCGTTGTCTATTCCTTCTATTATGTTGACGCTTTCGGGAAATGCGGCTACATCTAGCAAGAGATGATCGGCATTAACGGCAGGATTGACGATAAATATCAATAAAAGTACAAATATAAATTATAATTAGAAATTCTCTATTATTTCTTTTTCTGTTCATTTTTTTCAATTTTTTTGTTTTTCTCCTTTAGAAAAGCAGAGATTGCATAAAATTAAATTTGTCATTAAATCTCTCGCAGAGTTTTGCTGAACGTAAACTGAACGTACTGTCTGCAGTTAATTTGATTTCTTTTCCATAATTATCATATAGTTGTATTCCATTGAGGCCTACGTAGTAAGAGTCTCCCCATGTAGAGAAAATTATTATTTGATAAACGAATCCGCGTGGCATCGACGGAGCTTCGTAGTTGGAATCGAAAGACTCGAGTTCTAAAAAGTTATGTGTGATGCACGATAGGATATTTTTTAATTTGTTATGCCTATATAGATAGATATATACATATATGCACGCACACTTCTATCTTGCCTGCTTTACACGCCGTCTCTGAATGACATATACCTTCGAGCGATTTTGTAATTGGATCGATGATTTGATTCGAAGATTGTTCTCGATTAGGTGGATTAAGGAAACTAATTTCTTGGACAAAATCATAATGACAAGATCCCGGCGCGCGTCGCAATAGGAAGCCATCAGAATAATTCTCGTCATGCAACTGTCTACCGTCTAATTTGATTAGTAACTGTTTCACCTGTGCAAGAAGATTGGTCGTTGCAATCAGAATTCAGTTCTCTCATTTATTGAACAATGCGTTTGAATTATTTGCGTTCTCTCTCTCTCTCTCTCTCTCTTACTCCGCAATAAGACAACTCCAAAGATGCATTGTAATTCCAAATTCGAATTCCTGTCAGGTACACATCCATATCGAAAGTAACGGTTATCGTAATCCTCTTATTTAACATTAAATCCGCTAGCCACATGTAATCCATTTCGGTTGTAACATTGTGCCCGTCAATTAGTCTCATTAAATGCGTATCAGCCACGTTACAATGCAAATTGGCACTTACTAACGGGACTGCTACACCTTGATCCCCGATTAATTCTATACCGGTGAGGCCTATAACAAGAAAATCCGAAAGAAAGATTCGAATACATGTCGCAGATTATATTATATTATTATATAACGCTGCAGTTTGACTTGTGTCAATAATTAATTCACGTGATTTACGCTATACCTACCAACCAAATGCTGTAAACCCCAATTAGAAAGGATAATTAATTGAATCTCTCGGCAAGATAAAGGGGTAAGAGCGGTATTGCGAATTTTGCTATTGGTATACGCGTTGGGAGAATTTTCAATAGAATCGTCGCTATTATTACGTCTCGCCGAAGCAATCTAAAAAGAGATTACCATTATTGTATCTATCTTATTTTTATCTACCTTATTAACATGTGCGGCATGTTACGTTATACATATTATATATATATATAAATTATTTCTTTCTCTTCACAATCTGATGTCCCATTATTGAATTCTATGAATGTATTATCATGTTTTGATATCAATTCCAGAATATTTTCGTCCGTCGTAAATAATATAGTCTACATCAGTCAATATTTTTGTGCATTACATATAAAATTGATTTCATTCAAATTTATATTATATATATATATGTGTGTGTGTGTGTGTATGAAATTTAAGAATAATTAAGTGTAATTAATTTATATTATATATGTATAATAGATCACTCTACGTGTTGTTAATGTTGCTATAACGAAAGCTTTTATAAGACTTCTTACATCTCCAAAAGAATCAAGGCTACCCATATCATCCCCTGAAGCTTTAGCGATTTCTCCGTAAAAAATGATAATATCGTTCAATTTAATAATAATATCTTTGGCTCCTCGAAAGGAATGTATTCTGGATTTATTGTAATTCTGAAAGAAGAAAAGGAAGTAATTTCAGTTCAAATGTGTATTTTTACACCCGCTGCGGCGCACACGCGCGCTGCATATATACTTGAACTTCTACGTGTGTTTATAGATAATTTTTTTATGTCGTAAAATATATATAGATAAGAAATCCTACCCATATTCTGATCATTGCTATAGTAATCGTGAATTCAAATATCATGTAAACATAATGATGGTCACCATTTGAATAAGGTGTTAGCCATAAATTTGCATCGTCTCTTGTTCGATTGATACCATTAATTAAATTATTTATTGTATAAGGATTATGATCATTGTTCGGTGATTGATTAACGCTTGTCGTATGTGCACGTATCTCTTTTATTCTCGCTGGTTCTCCGGTATTTGAAAAAATTTCAATACCATTGAGGCCTACGTAGTGTTTGTCGCCCCAGGTAGAAATAATATCAATGACCAACGAGTCTCCGGATGGTAATTCAGGAATAATAAAATTTCTGTATAATTTATCTAAAAATATATAATATATAAACTAAATTATATTTAATTCGTATTTGCATATTACAAAGATGTAGAATAATGCAACACGTTGATTGCCATGCTAACACAATATACTCTCTCATTGAGAATATACCGGCCGGGATATACACTACTGTCTACTTATTCGTATTAAACGATATTTCGTCTATTATATAATATGTGCTTATGATAATAAAAATTCCTTTTCTTTAATGTACAGTAAAAATTATAAGACGCGAAAGCTCGCTGGGCAGACAACGCGTTAATATTCTATGTTTCTATCATATGCATGTGTAAAATGTATGTGTAAGCTTTCAACAAGGTGCAGGCCATCAATCAGCTATTTGAAAAAGCTGGAAGAAAAAAATATGTAACAAATGATTTGACAAAATGGTTTTTAAATAAAGTGGAGAGATTTAAAGATTTCTTGATATTGACCAGATAATAATTTCGGATTTCCTTCATTCTGTGTACTAAATGTGGAATCGTTAAGATAATTGTCATCTGACAAATGTAATGGTGTATCTACACGATTCGGGACACTTGATATTTGATGTTCAAAATAAAATTGATCCTCATCACCAGTTTTATCGTCGTTATAATTTCCAAATGTCAAATACATCCCATGCTTTTCCATCTGTTTTCTTTCCAAGTATGCGTCCAAACCATGAAAATCATTCTGTGTACGATGCTTTACATTCACAACGGCAGAACAAGCGCGTGTTCTTCGTTTAACTTGTACTTGTTCGCTCTTTGGTGTATTCGGCAGTGATTTGCTCGTGCAGGGTGTTTGTAATTTAATATTAGTATCGATATAAAGATGGCTTAAGTTTGATTGATAGCTATTAGGTTGATTGTTTCTATAAAAATGCCAAAGCAAAATATCGCTTTATAACGCTGTATCATATATTCTTGAAAAAATGAGCTATTGACAAAAAATATACAGATATCTTACGTATCTTCATCTTCCTTCTTGATGGTGATATTTTTGAAATGATGCTGATCATCGATTAAAACAAATGTTTCCATTTTTAGTGATTTGGTATCGTTACTTATATTAATCTTCTCTACATTGCTGATATAAAGGATAAAAAGTGAAAATAAAAAAAGTGGAAAACGATGCTATATTTATTCTTAAAAAGATGAAAAGTAATAATGTGCGAAAGAATGCTCTACATACTCAGTCATCTCCACCAACCAAGATGGCATTGTAAGCGCATTGGCAGCCAAAGATGCAGTTTTATTCTCCATCTTATCATACGTAACGTTATCCATACTTATTTATTTTCTTGTTTTACCACTGGTACCGTTGTATATGTCACTTTTATGATGATAATAATGACTCGCCCAATTGAATCACTCAGGTAATCTATTCATTATTTTATCGAAAAAATGTCAATTGCAATTTTTTCATTTTTCAAAAGCATACACATATTCATTTTCATGATTACACGTTGCACAGATTTCAGATTGCTCAACTAATTGTTTAAGACCGATAATAACCAGAGTTAGAAATTCTTATCCATTGTCGGCTCGTTCGATTCTCGCTTTGTTTGCTGCTATCACTATGGAAACTCTTCTGGAAGACTAGAATAGACGCGCCCCTATATGCAATTTTATATTGTACTAAGTATAATGATTATATAATATGTGCGCGCGCACAACTGTTACCATTTCTACTATGGTAAAAAGCAAGGTTTGCTAAGAAATAATTTTTGACCAATATATAATGTTTTATTTCTAATGAAGTATTACACTCATTGCCAAGAAGTATATATATATATATATATGTGTGTGTGTGTGTATGTGTGTGTGTGCGCGCGCGCGCGCGCGCGTGTGTGTGTGTGTGTGTGTGTGTGTGTGTGTGTGTCTCGATAACAGCAATGTTACATATTACTCCACGATACTTTGGTCCACGAAGTATACAACAAAAATAGACAGCGAATAACTTGTAACTGATAATCATTTTGTACTTTGCTCCTTGCGATCACGGCACATATATCATCGCAAATCAATATTCTTATTACATCAAGACTTTCGTAATATTTCACATTGTCAATACTGTACATTCTATATACATACCTACGTACGTACGTGTGTGCGCGCGCGCGTAAAGGGTTTCAGAGTTAAACTATCAAAAATGAATTTACGATCTCAAAATAAATAAAAGATTCCTCTGGAAGTTTACTCACAAACATTTCGTTTAAGAACTATTGATTTCTTAAGTTACAGAACAAAGGAATAAATAATGTCGAAATAATCTATGTATTCCCCTGTTATTGCCTTACAATAATCAAAATGTAATTAATAAATGTTTTGTTCAAAATGATGGCTTCAAGCCGTAAGAGACAAGCATTGTGTCTCTTTTATCAAAAAGAGAATGAGCGACGGACATTGTGCGTCTGTAATTTCTTCACATCCATTATCTTCCGTTTTAATGATTGAAGTTCATTAGCGAACACTTGGTACACTTTTTGCTTCAGAGCAAAACAAAATAAGAGATATTTCGATATTATTCATTCCTATAGTTCAATAACTTAAGAGGTCAATATCTTTTAAATAAAGCGTTTGCGAGCAAATTTCAGAGGAAAATTTTGTTTGTTTATATACATATATATATATGTATATATATACATACACATGTATGGGCACACACACAATATACGTACGTAACATACAAATATTGTCTATTACTATATATACTAATTTCAATATATAATTGATATACATACATATGGAAGTACAAATTAGATCGTTTCGATATATAAACATATCATAATTTAACTATAACAACAAGTACCATAGTTGTTATATAAACCTATATAATTTCGTTCAATTATATATCATATCTAGTAATAATATAAATAAGGCCATTTGCTCAACATACTATATTTCAAAAAACGTTCTATAATTTCAGTAAAATATACTATACAACATTTTTCCTTTTTTTTATGATTCCCTACCAAAATGTTAGCGAAACAAGTATGATTCAAATAATACATTCATTTGTTTTTCCTTAAAGAAACGTCAATAGTTCATTAGAAATATCCTAAGGTGGGGCATACGCGAGTTTAATTTAATTTTGGCACAATACATCTGCAAATAGAAAGACACTTCTAGCAGAAAGTAAACATATATATTCAGTCAACTTGATTTCCATTCATCGCTAAGGTAAAACTTGGCATTTATACTTTGTAAAGATTCTAATATAGAAGTTTACTTTATCAAACTTATGTAATATAAAACAAAATAACGTTTTTCCCAAAAATATTCCATCTGTATTTGGAAAAGAGTACAGGAATGGTAAAATTTTCTTTCTTACTTAATAATTATTCACGAGTGGTGTCGAAACATTAAATTTGATACTAAATAGAATATGAATGGTACAATATTCGCTATAGATATTCGAACTCGTCATGTAATTAGCAATACAACTGCGTTATATTAATATTTATTAATGTAATATCATATTTTTTGTCTTATTTTTAATATATAAACACATTCATAATATATGAATGAAGTCTTATATGGCCGTCAGGTACTTAAAAATCTTCCTTTTTCTTTCGTTTTAATACATACCATTTAATTCACTACACGCTTTTTCATAGCGTTTATTGCGTTTATACATTATATATACACAATTTCTGTTTACTGAGAGAGATTCGAAATAATTACGAGAAGACGTCTAGCTGACCAGCACATACGCAAATCACGATTAAAAAATAAATTTGTTTTTATCAAAAAGTCTGAAAATACATAATATATAGGCTTATACATAAATTAAATAATATTCCTTTACCGTAAAATATTTACCCTTTATGAAACTGCTACATTTTAGAATATTTAACATTTGGAAGAAACACTGTAGAAAACAGTATACAACTCTTACAATTCTATATGAGGCTTTAGTATATTAGATAATTGTGGCATGCTGCCGGCAGATGGTCCAAGAATATTCGTTGAGTCTGTTTCAGGAAATACATGGTTCAGAATCGCGTAATAATGAAATCCAGCCGCCGCAGCTACGAAAAGATGCCAAATTGCATGCGCGCAAGGTATACGACCATCCGATTTGAAAAATACTAAGCCAAGAACATACATCAGCCCACCCAGTTTCAATTCCGTAATATTGTAATAATTATACTGTAAAAATATTTATCGTAAATTAATTGAGATATTATTAAGATAAGATTATTTTAAATCATATGAAATTATGTATAAAATATATTTTGCTTGAGCAATATGTTTCTCGTGTTCATTCTCTTCTAAAATGAAATTCAAGCAATTACAAGCATTCTGAATACAATATTACTTTACTTACAACATTAAGGATCGCGACGCTAGGTCCAATACCCATAACCACATAGAAAATAGTTTCGAGCATCTTGTATCTCTCGTGAAAGATCTGCTGATAGAGGATACCCATTACAGCCATGATCCAAACGACATATCGCATCGCGAACAAAAGCTCATCGTCTGAGAAGTGTTCTATATTTAACCATGGAAAGTAACTGGCTGCTATGAAGATGTAAATCATAGCACGATCGCAACGATGCAACGCATCTTTTAGTTGTCTAAAATATTATGCGCGATGAATGTCTTGTTTACCATCTTACGCGTCTCAAAGAATTAGAAATAAGAATTAAAAATAAGAATTAAAAGAAAGAAATAAGAATTAAAAAAACGGATAAAAACTATGATTAAATAATTGTACCTGTTATGATTGCAATAGTGCACACTGTGGAAGAAAGTCGATACTGCAAAGACAAGGATTAAGGAAGTGCCGTATACACACGCTGAAACAAACTGAGCCCATGTTGACGAACGGCGTATAAGTTCGATACCGCCAATTACCGAAGGTACAACCCATATTCCGTGAGTTGCCACATTTGCCATATGTTCGATGGATGTAGGAGTATATGCCTCATTTATGCATGCTCTCGGATTCATCCACTTTATCCTATAAGCCAATTCACAATTGCATATTTTGTCCTTTCTTTCTACTTGCTTTCTTAATTGTAAAGTTTACTAAATTAAATTTCATAAAATTGCATTTAAATTATATAGAGAAATAATAGAATTACATATCCCCTTTAATATAATGCAATCATATTCTACAGTTACAAAGTACTATGAAAGACATCGATAAAACATCGTTAAAACCAATAATGCTACATAACAATTCGTTTTATCACATTTTTACACAATATATATTGCTGGTCAGCATTAACGCGATAGAAAACTGTTATGAGAGAGAGAGAGAGAGAAGAAAACATGCCCAGTTATTATATAAAGATTAGTGAAGATTATATAAAAAGAAATTTAGTCGAGTCCATATAAAGCAGATAATGAAATTAGGGAATTCTGCAATATTTGCTATAGTATACTACCATAAATGTAGATGACAGCGTGTATTTTTATTAAATTTAATTTTGATATCCATCCATGAGTCTCTAAAGAAAGTTTAAATTTTAAAATTTCTTTAGTGACTCATGAATGGATATCATGACTGAATTTAACAAAAGTACATGCTATCCCAAGTCACCTACATTTGCAGTACATTAGGTTTAGATATGTAAGTACATAGTATATACAGTGCAGTAATAGATTAAAGACGTAAGAAATTAAAGATTAAGTAATTGTACTACAATACATTTTTCTGTGTGCGTGCGTGCGTGTGTGGCATAAAGCTCATTTTAAATCTCCTAAGCATTATGTCAAAGTACATGCACATCATGTAAAATCATATATGCAATACACACGATATATATATATATATATATATATATATATAATACAGCATAGGATTTCTTTTCGTGTGTCCATATCGGTAGTACGGTCCATAGAGTACGGAACATTGCCTGAAGATACTTTGATCTTGTATTATCCTACAAGCGGTGCTAGTGCATTCTGTTAAAATTTGTATACTGTCTTAAGGTTTTGCTACATGCATAATCATTTTTGAGCTCAAATAACAATATGATTGCAAGATAATAGAAAAACTGAATGGAATTGTTTTTTATTAGATAATAATGGATACATAATTAGATAATATTGAAGTGTATCTGATGTTTTTCTTTAACATATTGTAAAGTATAACTTGTTATTTCTTTTTGTAGACCCATCTATCCTATACAATAAAGAATTCAACTCTCAACTAGTGTAGCTATGGCAAAACATGTGTATAACATATTACAAAATTAAATTTATCAGCTATTGTTTACTAACCATACTGTAACTGGGATTTGGCAAAACTTAGCTAGTAGTAAAGTATCGCGCTCATAACTTTGATTAATAACATTACAATAACTGTACATCATCCAACCAATTGTCAGATCTCTCATATACAAGATACTCAATCAATACCTAATGTATAACCGATTGTTTGATAATATATTTACTCATCAATTCATGCATGGATATAAATTATTTTGCATATAAATAGATGCTACATGCCAAATGTCCAGCTGAATTCCAAGGATGCAAAAATGCAAAGAGATGCTACAAGAATAAAGATTAAATCAGAGCAGAGCGGATTATATTATCTAAGATAATGAGTTGGCAAACATTAGGAGAGAGATTAGGAGACTTAATTTTTTATTATCAAGGAGATTCAATTGTTTTATTATTGACTCGAATTAAATTTAAAAAATTATATAGAAATAGGCACATACTGATTGTATTTATACAGGCCGCTCGTTAGAATGACATTTAAAAAACCTTGGCTTTATGACATTCTCACATACACAGTTTATTGAATTGCGCAACGTATAATACAATCTGTATTCACATCTTACTCTTTGATTCGTTGCAGTTGCAGGAAATTTTTTATGGGTGCTGTGATGATTTGATGAAGGCAGGTACCGTCCATGACGTTAGGCAAATAATGTAAAATTTCGACTGTAATAGTAGAGTATTTGTTGATCCTTGTTTATCTTGACAGATCACAGCCTCCAATGACAGATTTCTTATGGATGATGTGGTAAATGTGGTTAACGGCGGTGTAACAGCTGCCGAGCAAGCTGCGTCTTCCATCGCATATTGATAGACTCGTAACAATTTATGTTCGACATGGCAAGTGGACGAGTCGCTATCGTTCACCGCGTACCGCACGTGATCGTACGTCAATTTGTCTTCTATTTCCGAACGAACTAGTTTCGTCGCTCGGCGTTCAGCCGCTCTGACGAAGAAAGCCACCAAATCAAACTAAGGTAAGGACGGCAAACACGTCTGACAAGCGACAACACTAGGCAATACAATACTGATTACTCTGATAACAATATCTAACGACTTGGACTATTTTAGCTTCGCGAGTTAAGGAACCTACAGACAGAGCGGCGCAGCGGTAGCCAATAGGTGCATCCAGAAGCACGACCGCTCATTGAGCTCTTGTATCTGTTTGGTCTATATTTTTCGATCTAATGGAATATGCCAATCAGATGCAAGAGCTCACTGAGCGCTCAGTGAGCGGTCGTGCTTCTGGATGCACCCAATGGCTGCGTTCAGCAGAAAAAGCAGATTTGAAACTGCTGTAAAATTTTTCAATATGATTGGTTTATACGTTTAGATCTAGAAGGAACCAAAAGCAAGAACCAATCGTATTGAAGAAATTTACGACAGTTTTGCAAAGCTGCTTTCTCTGAACGCAGCAAATGAGAGCTATGCATCACTAGCACTGAAATTAAGGCACTATAAACGCGAGTATTCGCATATCCGCCATTTTTACTCCTTTCCCCAACATAGACTTATAAGGGCCTGAGCACAATAGAGGAACAGGAATTAGATATTAAGATTTTAACCTATCAGAAACTGATTACATCGGAATACACGGTTTCTGATAGGTTGAAATCTTAATATCTAATTCTTGTTCCTCTATTGTGCGCAGGCCCTAAGATAGACGGAGCATTCGTACGAGAGAAGCTGAAGACGTGATAGAAAGAGAAAGAAACAGTCGAGGAGTAGTTCTCTTCTTTTCTAGTAGTGAATTGATTGGTCGCCGTGGCAGGCCGAGAAACGGTCGAGAGCAATAAAGATAGACGTTCGAGAGTTGTGGCCTGCGGGTGCCGTCACATGCGGCGTAACTTGAGTAAGCGTAACTTACGCCAACCAATCATATCATTTCACTTGAACATCAGTTTCTATCTAGTCACTTTATGCTTTTTACGCTATTTTGTTGTTACGCCGAAACATGATAGAACGTTATGCAAGAATCTGTGCTCTCCGCTTTAAGGCCGCAGCACACGCTCTTGCATAACGCATAATGCATAGTGCATAAAATCAACCAATCAAAATTCTTCTTTTCCATGGAATGGGAGGAAAGATTCTGATTAGTTGATTCGCTTATGCACTATGCATTATGCGTCATGCAAGAGGGTGTGCTGCGGCCTTTAGGGTATATCCACACAAACTTGCATAGCCGCATAAACATATACATAAAGAAAATTATCCAATTGCAGTTCTCTTTTAAAGTCGTACATAAAATGTGATTGGATAATTTTCTTTATGCATACGTTTATGCGACTATGCAAGTTGTGTGGATATACCCTTAAGCAGGTAGCACAGACTCTTGCATAACGCATAACACGTAATGCATAAGAATATGTACCAATCGAAGTTCTCCGTTTCTTTCCCTTCCATGTAATAGAGAACTCTGGTTGGTTCAATTTCTTATGCCTCATGTGTTATGCGTTATGCATAAGAATATGTACCAATCGAAGTTCTCCGTTTCTTTCCCTTCCATGTAATAGAGAACTCTGGTTGGTTCAATTTCTTATGCCTCATGTGTTATGCGTTATGCAAGAGTCTGTGCTCTCCGCTTTACCCGTCCTTGTCCGAATGCTTGTTAATTTGCGCTTGCGTATGATGTTACCGCGTAATTCGAACTTGAAAAAATGTAGAATAGTTATCAAAATGTTATTTGAAATTTGAAAACGATAGAAACAAATGTTCCCAGCTATCAAATTGTCGTCATTGTTGATTGTAACTATACATTTAAAATACACACGTATTTTATATATTTATAGAATTTAAATTAATTCAATACATAACCTCAAAGCCTGGCTTAAAATTATGTACGAAAAGCAAAATAAAATATCTCCATACTCATGCATATATGGAGATATTTTATTTTGCTTCGTTGATATTTTGAGACATATAACACAATAACATCCCATTTTTTAATAATTTTATGTGCTTTTGTTTCGAGAGCTTTGAAGTTTGAACGTATGTACATATGAATATTTATAATCAACGCATGTGCGTTACAGTGAAACATTCACACAAGGACAGATAGATGTTGGTGCCATCGACAGTCACCTATGGTTCTTCCATATGTATGTTCTAAGCTCCGATTGCACACATCGCATGTTGCACATATGTATCGCTAATTGGCTAATTTAAAAATAAAATATTCTCATTGGTGAAGCAGTGAAAAATTACTAAGCACCAGCTGATATGAATGGTGTGTGCAATCGGGATTGTAGGCAAACGGGATCCTTCCAACAAATGAGTCTTCCTATACCTGGAATTATCATGTTCAGTTTATGTCAAAATATGAAAAGTGAAATAAATATTTGTGACACGAAAATTTAGAATATATACAATATTTGAATTGAGCATGATACTATGAAGTAAATGTACTTTTCATGCACAATTGAAAAAAAATGATTCATCTTCTTTTCTAATCACATCTCGCTTTATCTAACATTGCAACATCTGAAAACAGCGTAGTACGCAACTGAAAAGAAAAATGCAAATAAAAATTGATATCATACATATACTAAACGTATATATACTAATTAATATGTCTAGATACACAAATATGATATGTATCTAAATATAATGTAATATAATAATATGACACTTACATTCTCTTTGTTTCTATTCTGACATTGTTCCGAGTCACAGTTACAGTTGTTGCAGGTAACACCATTCTTACGACACGTACATACCCGTGTAGAACATTTTGTTTTACAAGCACATTTTATCGGATTCTCATGATTAGGTTCTATCTTATTAAAGGTCAGTCGTTGAATTGAGAGTTTCGATTTATTCTAAATAAAGAAAATAATTATTGAAATTCTAATAATTTCACGCAGTTGTACAGACTATAGTTTTTGACTATACATTTTGGATTTTTTTGTACATACAAGAGACCCTCATGAAGCGTTAAATTCTGATTTTGATGAAACTTTATATACATATTGGTTATATAAAAAGATGAATTAAAAAAATATCAGTTGCGGCGGAAAAGCAATTTTTTAAGGGACTAGCGCACAATCAAGGAATAGGAACAGGGACAGGGACTAATAGCGTATTCGTATTTACTTACTGACTCCAAGTCGACACTCTGTTCTTTTTAGTTGCATTTCTTGCACAATTTAGCTCTTCTTTTGCAGCTGAACAGAACAGACCATTAATTCGGAGTCGGGTCGAGTCAGTAAATCTAACACACTATAAGAATTCTAATCTGTCAGAAACTGTGTATTCCATAGCGCATGGTTTCCGAGTGGTTGAAATTCTTATTCTCTGTTCCTTTGATTGCGCAGAGTCCCTAAGCGTGGAGTCAGCCCTTATTTGTTATGTTTAATTATTTTTTAAAAACATTATTGACGTGAGTAAATAGAGATAATTAAAATTATTACAGAAACCATTGTTTTGTAGGAAATACTTTTTGATCTCTCTGGAATAGTTTCTGAGATATCATGAAAAAATCTAAAACCCGCGTCTACCTATAAGGTGATGTCATCCCTTAAAATCATTTTTCCATCGCATTCGATTTTTTTTTAATTCATCTTTTTATATAATCTATGTGTACAAAGTTTCATTAAAATCAGAATTAAACACTTTGCGAGGTTCCCTCGTTAGTAACAAAAACTGTATGACAAAAATGGCACAGAAATAAACAAGTATCGATAAGATATATATCACATTTGCCATATATATCTAATTAAGACAGTTTCTGTAATACAAATTTACCTGTAATTTTTGTATTCGACTATAAAGCGGCGTTTTTTTCCAATCTGGATCTTTATCGACATCGTCTTCCATCGTTGAACTGTCATCGTACGATAGACAAGCATTCTCATCGACTATTTCTTCTTTTATTTTATTTTCCATCTTTCTTTTCTTGGACAATGATTTTTTATTTTCATTTAAATTCTCTATCGAAACCTAAAACGCATAATAATAATAATTTCATTCTTTTTACTGAGTAAGCACACAGAGCATGTTTACTTTTTTTTATAAACGTTTCATAAAATTGATTAATACCTGTCTCTTTATAGATTTTGTCAAAGATTTGTCAGTATCGCTAGAAAACATATCAGATGAATCTTGCGAACAAGATATTTTATTTACTCTCTCCCGTTTTTCATATTCTTCTAGTCGTGCTTCTAGATTCTGATACTTTTCCTAAAATGTTATCTTTATATAATTGACTTGAGGGCATATTATATGTATACCCACATAATATGGATATATTATAATACATATAAACATCATATATATACATATATATATATATATACATGCAATATTTCTCTACGGTATATACTAACTTTCAATTCATTATATTTGTAACATTGTTGCTTCCTGTCTTGTGTAACTACATGAAATGCTGTTTCAAGTGCTACTTTTGCGTCCATTGTTGTACGTATCATATTCCATCGAGTATTTGTTCTAGTTTCTAAAGAAAAAGAAATTTATTGACGGATTACCGCACTTGCTAGTAAAGTGACTCTCAATGCACCTCGCTCAATAAAATTACTCAAAATAAGTAATTATAAGAGGTTCCGTATGTATAAAACAATATGACAATTAATAATGGCATAGAACCAATATTTAAACAAATTTAATTAAATTAGAATCATAAAGTTAACAAACGTTTCGATATCGATTGGGTCATTTTCAATGATACAAAGGTAAATCATAAATAAAAGTACAACTATACAATATTAAATAAATGAAAAAACCATAACTATAACAATTCGTTAAATTGCCAGCAAATTCTCGTCTTTACTATATAAAAAATATCCTTAATCTTTAATTACAGTTACAACATCTTAAATAAAAATGAATATGATTAAATTATAACATTTCATAAAATTGCAAACATTTCAAAAAATTACTCAAATTAACTTAATAGAAATCTTACCCTGATCTGACTCAAGAATCTTTTGTTGTAGATCTGCAATTTGTATGTTACGTAATTCTATGAATTCAGTAACAGTTGCAAGCTCCTTTTCATCCGGATCGTTATTTTTTTTAAGTTGCTCCAATTGATGTACCAACGAAGCTCTATCTTGCATCAGTTTTTCAAGAGAATAATCTGCTTCTACAGTGGCCATTAATACTTCCATTTCTTGAGCGATCCAAGTTTTTATCTCTTCTTTGCTATTGGTCTTCTTTTCTTGTCGTTGCATCGCCTTTTTCTGCATCTCCAAAGCACCCTGCCATATATAAATCACTTAGCTTAATAGCTCGCGTAGCAGAAATGCCGTTATGAAATGCCAACATGTAATAAGCATATCATTAAACAGAGTAGATCATAAATTAAATTAAATTAAATCATAGGTGCGTTCCATTTTGCGGAATCTACAGCGCTTGTAAGCATTATTTGTCCTTGTTTAACATTTAATAAACAACAAGAATGAAATAATGCTTACAAGAGAACGCACCTACTGTCGACAAAGAAACGTACCTTTAATCTTTTGTTAACTGCAAAAGCTTCCTCCATTTTCCTTTTAAAAACATTCTCCTGTTTATTATGTTCTATTTTCATGCGTACCATTTCGTAAGCACGTTTACGATCCTGCGTTCTTAATTTAATAATTTCCTTTTCCTTGGATTGTTTCCACTTAGTAAAATTATTTGCGTCGTTGCGCATCTGTCTGATAAGCTTGACTCGAGTTTCTTTTAACGTTTGTATCTCACAGGAGAGAGTTTTAATTTTTTGATCCTGCTTCTCCTTCGCTTTAATTATCTTGTTCTGTTCCATGCATCTACGTGTCAATTCCGCTATCTTTTTTTCCAGTTCTTGTACTCTTTTACGACGCGTCTCAGCCAATCTGTGCACAAAGAGCATTTAAATAAATTATTAGACTCTGTCTACAATAGATGTAATAAGTCTTTTTTTGAGCTCTAAGCTATGAGACGTTATAATTAGTCCTAAGGTGTAAACTTTACCATTGAGATCTGATTAGTTTATTTAAAGTTTACGCTTTGAGGTAAAAGATTTCTTAGAAAAATCTAGAAAAAAAAGTCGCGTTACAATTTAGAGTTCAGAACAAAAGACTAAAGACTTAATAATACACTTATCGATTAGTACCCATATTCTTTATAACTCTTAATGACAGTATCGTTACATTATCGTTATATGGGATGTCCCAAAACGACCGTCAAATATTTCGTGCACAGGTAGAGTGGATTAAACTAAGTCGAAAAAAGTCCTCCATTTTGCAATTTTCGCAATAGTTAACAAGATATCAATTACTAAAAATCGCCGAATATTAGTCTTTAACAATTCTTTACTCAAGTACTATCAACTTTACAAAAAAACAGCAAGAGACAAAAATTATTTATTTTCTTCTCATAAAGTTCTGAGAATTTTTTCAGAATTTTTTAGTATCGCATTTTCTCATGTTAATAAAAATAATTGCCAATAAGAAAACGCAATACTAAAAAGTTGATAAAAAATTCTGAAAATATTCTTGGAATTCTATAAGAAGAAAATTAACAATTTTTGTCTCTTGCCTTTGATTTTTTCTCTGTAAAGTTGATAGTATTTGAGTAAAAAAATTATTAAAGATCAATATTCGACGATTTTTAATTATTGATATCTTTTTAACTATTGCAAAAATTGCAAAATGATAGAGAACTTTTCGACTCAGTTTAATCCGCTCTACCTGCGCACGAAATATTTGATGGTCATTCTGGACACCCTTACGCACGCACGCACGCACATATATATTACATTATCATTATATAGATAAGAGTACAGATCTTAAGACCACAAATTGTATCAATGATATGTGGTGATACATGACTCAACGCGAGAGTAGTCGACTCTTAGTCGGCAGATCTTGAGTTCGATCCCTCTCACATATACTACGATTTTCGATTTACATTTTACATGGGACTGAGGCATAAATAATCTTGTATTTATAAAAACTAAACTTACTAAAAAAGACAAATAGAGAAGCTAGGCGGCAAAAGCACTCTAAAATAACTTACTTAGAACTGACATTGTGAGCATGAACCGCTTGTAAATGTTCCTCTTTTTCCGCATGTAACAGTTTGATTTCTTGTTCCATCTCCACGACATTCCTACGGCTTTCAGCGGTTTCTTGCGTTACATTTTTCAACAGTTCCGACACGAGGCTTTCTTTGAGTGCCAACTCCTTATTAATAGTTTGGACCTCGTTATTTCGCTCCGCTTGCCGTAGTGTGTGTTCCTCTTCCTTTTTATCAAAGTAATCCAAATTATCTTCGATATCATTCAATTCCTCTGTATGCACACATTCTATATCTTCTTCCATGTGTATGACACAATGTTTGGAATTGGATATTTCATGATTTATAAGTTCTTCGGATGCTTTCTTCTCATTATTTTGGATATCTATGCGCATAAAATAAACATCAAGTTAAAGATTCATCAAAGTTTATAGTTTATAAAAAAATAATTAATGGAATGTTCACACACAGAAAAGCTCACCTAACATCTTTTCATATATCGCTTTTAATTTATTTCGTTTTTCATCGTCGATTTCAAGACAAGAATCGAAATCTTGTAAAACTTGCTTGAATTCATCAAGTAATAACGATATAGCAAATCTGATTTTTTCCCGAGCCTGTTCGGCCATCTCCGCTCGTTCGTGCATAACTACGATTTCTCCTAAATTCGAACTCAATTTTTCCGTCATATCTCTAAACTTTTGATGTAATACACTATATTTCTCCTCGAGTGCCTCGTGTTCCTTCGGACATGTTGTTATGCCAAGTTCCTGATTCGCAAGAGCCAGCCGCAGTTCTTGAATTAATTTGTTCAACCGATTGATCTCTGCTACTTTTGGATCTTGATTCACAATTGGCTTATTCTTTATCTTACGTGCACGATCCGCATATCTCAATGTACTAAGAGTTTCATCCAAGTTATAATCTGCAAATAGTTTTCAAAAATGTGATAGATGTTGAAATATGTTAGAATACAAGTTGGACAGACGTAGGCGGTTAAGAAAATAAGAGTGTGCGAATACCAACCAGCAGGACTGACACAGGCAACCATAAGAGTCATGGAATTACCACCCAAGGAATCTTGCAACAATCTGGTAAGTTTACTGTCTCTGTATCCGATATATGTTCCAGAGGCACCATCACCTAGTTGTGAAATAACATTTCCCAAAGCCAACAATCCCTTGTTTATATTTACACCTTCTTTAAACCGTTCCCCAGTTGCTTGAGTTTTTTTACTACGTTCAGAACCCGCTAAATCAACCAAATGAAATTTCGCCACTGTCGCTGTATTCCTGCTTGAAAAGTCGAATTATTTCCGCTCTCACACGGTTAGTGTCGCAAGCTAAATAGAATGATAGAATAAAAAACAGTAGTAGGAATTAGAAACCAACAATTACTTACGGATCATCTTTCTTTTGCTGACGTATACATAATGTAAATATAGCGTGACTGCGACTGCTATGTGCATTCATTGCAGTTGCACCCGTTACGCGACCCAGGGAACCTTGTGCCAGACACTCTAACGTCTCTTGAGCATCTTCAACTTGTTTCTCACTTACACCGACAATTTTTATGTTTTTACCGTCCTCTCTAATATCTACAATGGATTGGCTTCTCTGCTTATCAGATAAAAGATCATACAATTGTTCTTGATACAATTCCATGAATGAGACTGCTACTTTGAAACTCCAATCTTCCTTGGATTTAATTATTTCAAATATATCATATATAACTCTTGGTATAATGCCCTTCTCTCCCACACCCGTATAATTGGTACCCATAGAATGGGTTTTGCCACTTCCAGTCTGTCCATATGCTAATATTGTAACATTATAGCCTACAAAAGATTATTATTTATCTTTAATGTAATGCAAATGCAACATTATATCTAAAAAGTATAAAGATTTGAAAAAATATGAAATATTTACCTTGAAAGGTATTATCTACGAGTCGTTTAATCGCCGTGTTATAAAAATTTTCCTGTCCAATGTGAGGAGGAAACACATAATTGTACGTGAACGCTTTGTCAGTATTGCATATACGAACTTGTGGTTCTCCAGATATAGCATCTAAACACATTTGACACCCTTTTTCAAGCTCATTGTCTACTAATGGACGGATACGTAGAGCAACACTAACTGTACTTTCACACATCTGCAATAACAATGTTACATTAAACATATTGGGAACACAGCATAGAGGCACTATATAGCACCCATCACATCATTATTGAATATTAAACAATATTTCTTGAGAGATTCATACACAATGCATATTTTAATACTACATATGTAGTAAGCTTAATTTGTTTGAGTTAAAACGGTCAAGGCTTATATGTTTCTTAAATTATTTTTGAGTTATTAAATATCAAGGCAATATATACACAATCACACATCCATTTATTCAATACATAAGAGTTAAACTTAAAAATTTAATTTAAGATAAATACATACAATTATTGAAAGTAATATCAAAAATTAAACAAGATCAAGAACATATGCTGTAACTCATAAAACAAGTTGAAAGCTTCTAAACATCAACCAACCATGATACCTAAAAAAATAAAGACATTTACATATTTTGTTACAGTACTCCAATAATATCAAATATTTCTCTAAAAGATATTCATAACGCCTTGTCTGGCTGATGTGCACCTTTCAATGTTTCTAAGTAAGTCTCAAATGGAGGGATTCAGTCAATATGACGTCTTTTTCATTGAATAAAAAAATAAACATGAAATAAAAATAAACCATATCCATTAATAAGAAAAAAAAATTTATAAGAAAACACATTTACTATATTCTTTTTAAAACGAGAATCGTTGCACAAATTTTGCTATATCATTGAACAACAGATGCCAAAGTATCTACTTTTACAAGGTTATAAAAAAATCGTACTTACCGTTTATACAATCTCTCAACCAGAGACTCACCACACGAAGCGTAACGGAATATATTCTAAGAAAATTATACACGACTCACGGAGAATCACGAGAAATTTCATATGCACACTTCTTTTAGTTATGCCTGATTATACCAGCCTACCTTCCAGCACCTTCCAACGTCGAAAGTCAATAACGTCAATTACGCATATATATGTAACAAAAGACCCCGACTCCGACTCAAGACTGTTGAAAATACACGGTATCGATATTACAGAAGAACGTTAAATTTCAAATAGTTTGAATTTATTCAGAGCAACGAAAAAAGGAGGGACGGAAGGAGAGGAAGAGTAGAGTCCTAGATATATCAGAGAGGTGCAACCGGTGTTATGCATTCTGATTCGCTGTTGTAATCTGACCAATTGCGTGACTTGGCAGCCATTTATAGTACTAATGACATATTTCTATTTCATTTTATCCTATAAATTCTATCTCACATTATCCTACACGTCTTATCTTGTTTGACATAGGCCGGTATTCATAGTCAGATCTTATATTCAAGACCGTCTTAAGTACAGTCTTAAGAAGTCACGAACCAATCAGAGGGCTGCATTAGCGTCTTAAGACATTACTTAAGACGGTCTTGAAATAAGAACTGACTATGAATACCGGCCATAGAGTCCTACATTTATAAATCTAGGGCCGGTATTCATAGTCGGTTCTTATTTTAAGACCGTCTTAAGTAATGTCTTAAGTCGCTAATGCGGCCTTCTGATTGGTTCATGACATCTTAAGACTGTACTTAAGACAGTCTTAAATATAAGATCCGACTATGAATACCGGCCTAAGACTCTAAGGAAGAGAAGAGTTTGCAACCAATCCGACATTTGAAATTCTCTGATTGGAAAATATATAATGGCTGCGTTCAGCAGACTCAACCGTTTTGTGATTCTTCGCAGAGATAGGACTATTTCTTTAAATCTAAAAGTATAATCCAATCAGCGCGACAAATCATAAAACGGTTGCAAAACTGCCGAGTCTGCTGAACACAGCCA